TTCTGCTGGTTTGAACAGGCAGTCTGTTAATTTGATCCCTGCTGCCATCTAGTGACCGGAGGTGGGATTTGTGGTTAAAGATGAATAAAATCAATAATAAAGTCTTCCTGTTCCTCGCAGGTCTGACGATGCACGCGTCCATCCTCGCCTACATGTTCAACCTGGTGGAGGAAGGGAAGATCACGGCGGTTCTGAACCCCGGCAGTCCCACCAACAACCAGGTGTTCATCCAGGAATACGTGGCCAACCTGCTGAAGACGGCGTTCCCCCACCTACAGGAGTGAGTCCAAGCGCCACAAACCGTGTGATTCCAGGCGAGCGTTTGCTCACGTTCATGGATGTTTGTGCTTCTGTCCGTCGCAGCGCTCAGGTGAAGGTGTTTGTGACGGGGCTGTTCAGTTTAAACCAGGACATTCCTGCGTTCAAGGAGCACCTGAGGGACTTCCTGGTCCAGATAAAGGTGAGGTTTGCTCGTTTTTGTGAATCAATGTCACTCTGCTGCTGCTGTTCTTTCTCCCAGAGGTTATCGGAGACGGCATAGCTTCCTGCTTAGCTGTTGTTTCCACAAATAGCTCGCGCTCACATGGTCGGGTTTCACTTTGACGCCTATAAAACGGCCTCAGCGAGTTTGTTGCTGGAACAAATCATTTCCTCTGATCGACACAAGGAAATCAAACACATCCTCTCTGTTAGCAAGGTGCTTCAAATCCTTGAAAAATTTTATTTGGTCAGTAACGTTTGTTTATTAAATCACTAAACACTAAATGATAAAAGTCTGTCTTAAATTATACAAAGTTTGAAATTATCAAAAGAAACGCAGGTCACCCTTTTATTTTTTTAACTGAATTCCACAACACATCCACATGTCAAGGTTGTCATAGTCAAGTTAGCATATCTGAACTACTTCCCTCGCTACCTTTTTTTCTTAATTGAAACTTTTTCCTGACCTTGTGACCAAGTTGTTACACAGTGCTGTTCCAAAGCACTGTGTCCCTTCTCTTAGATATCAAGTGTACATTTAAGATTTAGCGCGTTATATTGACAATTTAACAGCTAAAACTAATGCTAGTGATTGTTAGCGAGCAGCTTTTTGCCGTTTTGCGTGTATGACATCACACTGTTAGGTGTCCATAGCAGGTTTGGGACGTAAGAAAGGCCGCCTATATCCTTGCGTTTCATTTTGACCTCCTTGCTAAGCTAATGGCCCTGTAGCTGAGCTAACCGCCATGTTTTCTGCAGGAGTTTGCAGGCGAGGACACCTCGGACCTGTTCCTGGAGGAGAGGGAAGCGTCGCTCCGTCAGGCCCAGGAGGAGAAACACAAGATCCAGATGTCGGTACCGGGCATCCTGAACCCCCACGAGATCCCAGAGGAGATGTGTGACTGAGCTGCAGCTCCGGCAAAACTTGTACAGTATCCAAACAACAAAAACAACAAACCCCCGATCACAACAAAACCTATGAGGCAGTTGGTGGCGTACGGTGGGAGTTAGCCCCACCAGGCCTCTGCAGCGCGGGCTGTCCCTCCGGATGTTTGTTGACCAAAATAATGCCAATAATATCTTGTAAATGATTAGCGCGTCACTCTGTGGCCCCTTTTTACACAATTCTGTGTTTTTTGTATGGAGACTTTTTTGCGTATTAACTTTCCGGCTGTAACGTTTTCGGTGGTCTCTGGTCCATCCCAGACCTGCATGATAAACTTGTAACAATCGGTTGGGGGAGCAAAGATTTGTTTTTTGTTCACCTTCTGATTATGTTTCCCAGTTCTTCCTGCTTTTTTTTGTTTTTTTCTTTCTGCAACACGTGTTTATATGTAAATATCTTCTGTAAGCGGCGTCAGAAGCTTCAGACGATCGTGTTTGCTTGGAATGTGAATCTAACGGAAAACGAATGAAGGCTCTGTTACTCATAAGTTCTAGTGAAACCAGCCTGCTATCAGCAGGAGGTATATTTTCTTTCTTTAGTTCGTTTTTAGGGAAAACTAAACCGGATTTGTGCATATCATCCCAATTGTATAGCATCTTGAATACCATGGGAACACTTTTTTCTTTTATTCTCTTTTTTTTTGTGGGTGTGTGTGCGTGTGTGTGCTGTCGCTCAGTCGACATTGGCGTTTCGTTTTCCTCTAAGAGGATTGTTCATCATGGGGATGTTTTCCGGATGAGGCGGGCGTATTTATGAGTTCCTGGTTGGTTGGTTGGTCGCATCTTTATTACGACTCCTGTTTAACTCAGATGGCTTTCAGCATTTTATTTTTTTGAACTGTACTAATTTAGATTGTTTACCATGCAGTAGTGCGTCAGGACACTACCTGACTGAGCAAATTTTAAAAAATAAATAAATATGGGTTTACATTTAATTTTGTATTTTGTTTTGGATATTTCGATTGTAGCTGTTTTAAAGTTCTGTCCAAATAAACAAAGACGCTTTTTGAATCTGGTTAAACCTGAATTGCCAACGAGTTTAATTGAGAAAGAATGTATAAATCCAAATAAGCACCCAATCGCTAACGGCTTATCTCCCTTCTCGAGGTGTTACTTTGTTGTGAACTTTTTGAACTGATTAAAGTTGAGAATTTTATAACCACGCCTCGGGCCTGGTGTCTTCATTCCCACAGCCGAGGGTGGGATGGGAAAATGTGCTTTGATTCGACTTCTGACTCTTCCCGATATTGTCTCAATCATCTTCTCCAATGATGTAGTTACCTGTCCATTTGTTCAATCATTAGCTAATCCTCCATCTTCCCGCTACTTGCTCATCTGTCCAATCGGCAAGCTACCGGTCCATTTGTCCAATCCTCCAGGATCTCTACAAGTATAATTGTCCAATCGAGACAAGGATTAGCCAAGCTAATCTTCTCCATCTCTGTCCATTTGTCCATCTGTTGTCCATTATCTATTTGTCCATCATACATTTTTTGTCCATCCATTAGTTCCTCCAATATTCTTCTACCTGCCCAACAATTTCCATCTGTCCATGTTTTTGTTTAAATTCTGTTTTGAATGAAAACAGAATTCGGACCAGAACCAAAACTGTGAAAAAGCACTGTATTGAAAAATTTTGGTAAACTCTCCAGATGGTCCAGTGAAAGTGAGCAGAAGGAAAACCTTCCCCTCTTTCTCTCTCTCTCTCAGGGTGATGTAAAAATAAGAGCAAGATGATAAATGACCCGCTACGAACGAACGACTCGACATCCGACCGCTTCCGCTCGCTCACTTTTGGCCGCGCTTGCTGCTGTGTAAACCGACCCGGCCGCTAATCCCTGTTAACATGCCGGTATTGCACCAAAGCCGATGGTGACACTCCGCCGCCAAAAGACGAAGCGTTCATCTTGCCGCCGTCCCTTCCGCTCTGACGCAACCAGACGCAGCTGCTGGATCTTCTGGGAGATTAAGAAGAAAGAAAAAAAGTTTCCTCCAAAGAAATCGCCATGAAATTCAGAGATTATGAACTTGCATTTAATTTGGAGAGAAAACCATTCTAGCCTTCCCACCAATAAATACACTTGGCGAGAAAAATTCAAAATGGACGACTCAGGGAAGGACTTGACTAAGCGACTGAAACTCAATCGGAGGAAGAGAAACGCATGGAAGCGGATGCATCATGCTTTGGGATCTTTAGTTCTTTAAAGGTTATAAATAATAATAATGGGACCCGATTAAAAAAATTTGAGATAGATGCACGGTTTAATTAATTAATCGGATTAAATCAAAAACCAATAAATGTTTTCAACAACATTGAAAATGTTGGAAATAAGCAACATTTTCAATTCAAAATCCTTTTGCTGTTAAATAAATAGACATGTAAGCGCAACAACAAAAGATATTTATCGTTTTTATCTTATTTAGGTTTTTCAACCATAAAATTAGTGCAAAGTGTTTCAGGATCATTCGTGAAACTTTGGAAAAAATCATTTTAGATTACTCTGATCAATAGTAAGTCTGGTGTTTTCAGCAAATGGCCTTTTTTGTCTGCAAGTAGTATAACTTGAAATGTTATTTGCAGACAGTTTATTTAAATTATTCTTAGAGCTTCTATTCATGACTATTTTAGCAAATATTCTGATGATTAATCAGCTAATTAAAAAATTGCCATGCAGTTTTTTTTCATTTGAGACTTGTTTTGCAATAATGTTTACAAAACTTATATTTTTTGTACAGTTTTGGCTTAAACCTAAAAAAGTTGCCTTTTTTGCACTTCAGTTAATGGATAATTGGTCACTAAAGTAGTTAATTCTTTTAATAATCAATTAATCAATCAGATTTAATTTATTTGATATCAAAAAGGTAAGATTCCAGAAGTTTAAAGCTCTGAATATGTTGTTTTATCAGCAAATTGCCTTTTTTGAGTCCAGTTATGCTCCACTTAATGATAATTGGTTACTAAAATTAACCGACAATTATTGAAATAATTGATTAATCTTTTCAGAATACACTCTTGAATCTACATTTGAGTTTGTTTTGGGGACTTTCTTTGTCTCCTCCCTGGTTTTTTTGATGTGCTTACGTTCGGGCCTCTCTGTGGGCCCATAATTCAGTCCTGCTGTAACCGGACCCCCTGACCCACATCCACAGATCCTCGGCCATTCTCGGCATCTGCTGTCGAGGAGAAGAAGTGACAGCTGGGATAGCCCCCTCCCACCTACCCACCCACCAGGAGGGGGATTGGGAGAAGAGCCCAGCCCACTGCCTCTTCATGTCCCCTTATGCCCTGGTGTGCAGCTGGGTTATTAATACCGACCAGAACCTCTCCGGCCTGACCCTCCACCCAGTGCAGCGAACCAGCTCCCTGACCTAAACAAGAAGGTGCTGGCAGCTGATTGGACGCTTCATCCACACCAGGAAGTAAAACCCTTTGGTCACATTGTTGGCATCACCTGGCCAAGCGTTGGGACTATAGGTGACTTGTTCTGGAAAACTGGGTCAAAGTTGATCATTTAAAACCTCTGCCAAGGTTGTATGGTGCCACCTACTGGACAAAAGACAACTTATTAATTTTTTTTAGTGTTTATAGATGTGTTATTAGTTGAATACAGTTACAGATGGAAGCATTTTGACCTTAACCGAAAGAAATTACAAATCAGATCCGGTAAGGAGGAAAGCGTGGGAATCTCTCAGATAAACAACATGGCCGACGTTTTCTGGTGTTTGGGGTCCTGCTGCTCTCATGAAGCAGCAATGGGGGTTCGTCTTGTTTACTGAGGAACGGCCACAGCTGCACAAACACGCAGCAGCCGATGGAGGTCCACATGTACGGAGACGGCCAAGAGTAGGAAGTCCACACCTGCCTGTCCCTCGTCTGGAGACGGGTCCTCGTCTGGAGACGGGTCCTCGTCTTCGGGGTTTCTGTCGATCTTTCATCACTTCGGGATCATTAAGTAGTTCGGATCTGAGCGTAACGCGACTTGGATCTGTGGAAAAACAGAAGATGTTCAGATTAGGGCTGAAACGATTAATCTGAATCATCAAAATAATGCTATGTTGTTTCATTTTAGGCAATAAAATGTTTATTTTCTTATCTTAAATATTAATTATTTGTATATTTTTATGTATTTCTAATATTTTTTCTTTTCTTTTCAAATGTTCTTACAAGTTTAAGTAGCTCCTAAAGATTATCGATTAATCACCAGACTTATCGATTCTTTGATCACAAACTACAATTGTTTGTGTATCGTTTTTATCTTATTTAGGTTTTTCAACCATAAAATTAGTGCCATAGAATTACGACAGAAAATTAGACTAGATTAGAGAAATAGTCCCAATATTAATGGAGTTTATGCATCTATAAGCTACTGTGAAGCAGCTAAGCATCCCACAGCATGATGCACCCACTGCCATGCTTGACATTTGATACAGTAGATTAAATTCAAACTGTCAAACCCATTTTTTTAAGTATAAATCTTTAAAACAAACATACCTGGGGGCTTTTTCTGCTGTCGGTCGGGTCGGAGCGCCGCCTCTGAACTGCAGCTCCAGCCGGGCGTAGATCCCACCGGCCGGCTGGACCAGCAGAAACACAAACCAGTTTGGAAACAACCCAACACCAGTTCAGACGGAGCAGCAATCTGCAACTCCAAACTTTGGTAAAAGTCACGAAGAACAAACGCATGTTTATAAATGTTTTCAAACAGTTTCTTGGAGGAACTGAGTTAAATTTAGAACGACACTAAAAGAGTCAACAATATTTTTTAGATCTATTTTTCTTGTCATCAGGTTTTATTTTATTTTATTATATTTTGTTCTGAAGTCATTTATTAATGTACAAATAACACTATTTATATGTTATATTTTCTTTAACTGTGGAAACATGACAGGCTAAATAAATTAATGATGCTAATTTTTTACTCCAAATTTATTTGGGCTACAATAATTATTTTTGTAATTGATTAATCTGCTGATTATTCTGATGATTAATTGGATTTAAAAAAAGGCCACATTTGAGTTTTTTTGTTGGTTTTTTCTTACACAATTTTGGGTTAATTACTGCTCTGACAATGTTCTTTTGAAATCCTACTCTAAGTGATTATTAAATTAGTTGATTATTATTCTAAAAATTAGAATTAATGATCATTTCAGCCTTTTTTTTAAAACAAAATAGAAAACGATTATCAAAAATTAAAAACTAAGTATGTTCAAAAAGTCATGAATCGTTTCAGGCTCTATTCGAGTTTTATTTCGTTCTGTTGAGGGCAACGAAGGTTGCAGACGCCTGAGCAAGAGGAACCGGATTCGTCTCTGTTCACGGCCAAAACAAAACCTACGAGTGATTTTGTTCCATTTCCTGCAGGAAACTTACAGTTCACTTGAAATAAGACAAAACTAACTATAAGTAACTTTTCAGCTTGTTTTGAGAAAATAATGTCTTAATTTTGATTTAAAATGTACTAAAATAAGTGAAATAATCTCATCTACTGTCAGGTTGTTTCACTTACAACTAGAACTTTTTCAATCAATGTTAATGAATTTTTAGCTGAAAAGTTACTCAAAATATTGATATTTCCAGTAGAAAATATATTTTCAGTAGAATAAATTCTCGGTAGGGTTTTGTGTTTTTGCAGTGTAGACTCACTCACTTCTTTGTTGTCCTTGGATTTACTCGGCTCCTGGTCTCCGAACCTCATCTTGGTCAGGTGGCCGACGAGCTCCGCCATGCGCCGCTGGTCTGAAACGAGCAGAACAAACCCGGTTTGATGCCGTTTTGCCTCCCGGGTCGACAGCATTTGATGCGTCCTGCTTTACCTTCCTCTCTCTGAGCGTCCTGGTTGTACCGCAGCGAGCGGGAACTGTCCCACTTACTCTTCTGGAGGCTCACGCTACAACACACACACATTCACTAGTTAGCTTAGCTTCGGTTTAGAAAGGTGTTTGGCGTTCAGGTGAGGCTTACGTGAAAGGTGTGCTGTCTCTGGACTGTGGCTAAGGAAGAAGAAAAACAGCTTAGAGTAAAATATGAGAAACAGCAGATAAAGCTTTAGTTTGGAGAAAACTTTCTCTGTAAGTTTTCTAATTTTTTTTGGAGCTAAATTAACTATTAAATTATATAATTTATTACAGTTAAACGTAGAGGTGGAGGATATAGAGTTATAGCTCTATTATGATATTTTGTGGCACCATAAAAGTGAAAATAAATAGTATTTATGATTCTTTTTTCTAAGATAACTGCAATCACAGCCCCAATAACACAAATACCGCTCTTGGAAAAACAATTTTCAGTTTCTTTAACATTAAAAAGTGAGATTTGCATCACTAAACTGACCACAGTAACTGTAATATTTAATCATATGTTTTACGTTTATTGATATTTACTGTTACTATTATTGAACAAACAGGGGAGAAAATTGTAAAACTAACAATTCAAACAACACAAACAGTTTTACCAGATTTTAAATATTGTGACAGATTATGCAAAAATATTATCACAATAAATGATTAATGACACGATAAATGTCCGCCTCTCGTTATTAATCATGTATTGTGAGTTCACATTTTACAGTAGGGAGAAGATTAACTAAAATATTACAAAATGTTATGTTTATAAATCTGTCACATCTGAGAAAACATTAATTTAACAAAAAAATTTAATCATTAATGTCGTTTAAAGTGTAAAATATACAATTATCAATAAGCAGTTGAGAAATTAAGAATAATAAATATTTATTACATTGAAATAAGCCAAACAAACTGTTAAAGTCAATGACTTTCCTGCTAAAAACAAAATATACTAAGAAAATGATTTTAAAATATCTCCAAGAAATGTTCTAACAAAGTTTTCCAGCTTTTAGAAAATAACTTTGGATGGTTGCAAAGCAATAAAAGTTTAGTTTAACTTCAGACATTTTTATTAGATGTATGAAAATATCTTAAGCTTTAAATCAAACATTAGATTGCACTTCATGACAAAACAATTGATTGAAATTCAAGGATTTCAAGGACCGTAATGAAAACTGTTCGTTGGAAATGATCCTTAAAGGAGAAGAAGAGATGAATCCATGAAATCAGCGACTTACCTTCTCAAATTTGTCTTTGCGTTGAAAGTTCGGAGAGGAAAGCTGTTTCTTCAGAGGTCTGTGGGTCTTCTTCGCCTTCTTAGCAGCTGGAAAAAACAGGTAAGAGGAATAAACAGAATGCAACAGTCGCCACCTGCTGGCTGGAAACAGGAACTGAATAAATAAAATGAGATTCAGAGGAAGAAAAAAAAAAACACCTGGATATTTATCAAAGTTATCGCAATTAATCAATTATTTGTATGAAGAATTAAAATGAGTTTGACAATTTCCATTCTGATTATTAATATTTATTGAAAGGTGAATTTGTTTACAGCAACACAAACATTTATATATTTATATTTCAGTTTTATTTAGCTATTTTTGGTTGTTGCATTTTATTTTAGACATTTACAAATATCTTCCAATTTCAGTGTACGACAGTTTAAAAATTTCAAGAAATCTTGAGATTAAGCTCAGAAATTTTTTTGAAAAAAAAAAGGAAATTTCAGAGTTTGAAGTTGAAAATTTGCTAGAAAAAATTATGAAGTTTTGAGATTAATTTTAGAATTTTTTTGAATAGACAAGGAATCTTCTGAGCTTGAGAAGCAAAAACATGTTTCAAAAAATTTTCAAATTAACCTCAGACATTTTCTAGAAAAAACTTGAAAACTTCTAAAAAAATTGATGGATTAGTCTAAAAAATTTTCTGATTAATCTCAGAAATTTTCTAGCAGAAATATGTAATATATTTGTATTTTTTACACGCCTGGTGATTCTGAAAGTCAGAAAGTTTTTGTGAAATAAATGACAGAAATGAGCTTATTTTTTACTTTTAATAACGTTTTTCCAAAGCAGCAGTTTGTGGGTCGAACAAAAAATATTTTGCTACCAGATTAAACATCACAATTAGACTTTTCTGCCAGACTCTCACCTTGTTTCTTCGACAGCTCTTCTTCGTCCCCCACCTCGTCTTCGGTGACCTCTGACCCCGTGGTGTACTCCTCGTCCTCTGACAGGAGGGACTGCTGCCTCTGGAAGAGCAGAGTTTCAGTTTCTGACTCAACAACCGTCACCAGAATCTCTGAAAACGACGAGGCGTCCTACCAGCTGAAGAGTCCAGTTCTTGAAAAGGGAAAACTGGGTGAAAAACACAAAGGAAATTGAATGTGAATCTGTAGAAAAACGAACTGAAAATGATTTTAAAGAGACGTACAGAGCTGCCGTCTCCTCTCAGAGGTCCGAGGAGTGTCGGCTCCAGGAGAGCGCTGCAGTCTGGGACTTTCTCTGCTCCGGGCGGACTCTCCTCAGAGCTGACGAGCACCAGCAGGACGTTTAACTTTTATCAGAAATCAGGGGAAAATTGTCATGGCGATGACCTTTCCACTGACCTTTCTGCCGGCGACGTGTTGGACAAACACACAGCGTCTCTGTGCAGCAGCAGGTCGTTAAGGACTCTGGTCTGAGCCGCCGTCGCCTCGTCGCATTTCTCCTCATCTGGTACGTTCACGATGTGATCCCGCATCTTACAACCCTGAACGAACACGAACACACACACGCACACACACACACACACACACACACACACACACACACACACACACACACACACACACACACACACACATTAACCAGTCAGCCTGATCTCTCTGATGTTAGAAAGTTTTGAATTTTGTTGCTAAATTATAAATTGATTCCCATATTTTGAGAAATGTAGGAGCGAATCTTTAGCCCTCTATATACACTGAAAAAACACAAAATATTCCCAAGTATTTCTGGCCTGGTTTTTAGTATCTTAAACTGGAAACCTTTGGTATCCCAGTGGGGTCAAAGCGGAGAACCCTCTGGTTGCAGCAGGGGTATATTCCCGCCCCATGCCAGCCTTTCTCTGTGCCCATGCTGGGGTACAACACGCTGTCTGGGTGATATTTGCATTGGGTCAGCTCTGCACAAACAAACACCTGCACAAAACACACAGACGGGTCTTAGAGAATAGCTCATCACAGAAAACCATTAGAAAAATAAGAATTTTCTGCAAAAATGCAGCGTGAATGCTGCTTTTTACTGAAAATTGCAGAAAAAGAGAGTAAAATTATGGCTGAAGGAAGTTTGGAGGTAAGGTTTCCAACTCTCCTTCCAACCTAAATTGCAAACATAATAATCATTGCCACTAACTATCGTTTCCTCCCGACTCTGGGGTCGAGTCAGGAGACTCTGACCTGCTGACAGCGGGAGCAGGTCAGGTAGTTGATGGTTCCCCAGATTCTCCAGTAAACGAGAACCCAGGACTTGAGCTCCTCATATAAAGCTGTGGTGTATTCATGCACATCCCAGCTCTTCTGTCTGTGAACCCAAACCACATTAATAACAACATTAAATAACGTCTCAATGAACAACAGTGTCACAATAAAACTAAGAATATATATTTCTTTGTTGTAGAGTTTACATATATATATATATGAAAATGTATGTGTAAATAATTTAACAATGGAAGTGAACCAGAATTAGGTGCAGCCTGAGTGCAGCGGTCTGAAGTTACATTAGTGTTAAAATGATTAATAATTAAAAGCTCTAGCCTTTGTTACATTTATTTGTTTACATTTATGTACCTTGTGTGCGTATAGATGATCTGTCCTCGGACGTCAATGTTGATTTTCCCCGAAACGCAGGAAATCTTCCTCTCCGTGTCTTTGGTCAGCAGCTTGAGGCACAAACCGCACCTGCATTATAGGGACGAAACGAAACAGCGGCACATTTTCAGAAACTCTACAACTCAGAAAAGCAACTGCAGAAGCAAAGAGGCTGTTCCAACCTATAGAGAGTCGAGGCGTTTCCGGGTGAATCTTTGTTCTGGTGGTTTGGATCAAACAGCCGCTCAATTTTCTTCTGAAACAATTTGCTTTGACACAGAAGAAAAAGAGGAGGAAAGCAGCGTTAGCTTCTAAATTAGCCGCCTGTTGACACGCGGGCTGCTTTAAACTTCCCACCTCTTGAATTTATCTTTTTTGTCGCGGATGTCGTCGGCCTCGTTGTGGTTGAAGAGCTCGGCAATCCGTGTTGCCAGGTTGCTGTTGATGCAGTTCATGTTGCAGGGCGTGGAAACGATGGCGCTCATGTGTTTATGGCAGTACTGGATGCATTCCTCCACCTGAACACAGACGAAGATATTCAAACTCCTGCAGATTTTTCACCTGCTTGATAAACAAATCAATAATAAATAACTGTCAGGAGCTGCTTCTATGGAGCAAAACTCAAAGGTCACTGATGGATGGATCATTTTGCAGTGGCCTCTTAATTTATGGCAGTACTGGACACTTACTAACGTATCCATCTTCAAGAACTCAGAGGAGATCAGGATGGAGATGACGTTGCTGGGCTCTGAAACCGACAGACACCGAACACACAAACCAAACACCAACAGCGGTTCACAACAAGCAGGTGGAGAAGGTGAGCAAGCACAAAAATAAACGTGAGACGCTGCTGTGCTTTTGTTTCTAATTTACCCAGCCGGGGTTTGTCCTTGTTCCCCTCTCCTGCCGAGTTCCTCCTGACGTAGTTCATGAGCCAGTCGAAGATCTGGACGTCGCAGTGGACCGAGATGTCCACCTCTTCCCACCTCTGCTGGTCCACGGATAAATACTCAGCAAAGTAGCGCATCTCTTTGACTAGAAGATCTCTGGGGCAGGTGAAATCCTGCTTAAGGTTCTTGGTCTCGTCACAGACGTGGATCACCATGTTGAGACTGGAGAGCAGGGAATACAAAACGTGAAGCTGAGTGTTATGTACCGCTGTGTTTCTCAAACTTTTTCAGGACCACTTAATTTGAAATTGCCCCACAATAACAAAGTCGTAAAAAAAAAAACAAACAGATCGCATGCAGTACCCTTCTAACCACCAGGGGGCGACCACGTACCCCTAGTTTTGTAGAGACTACAGATATGACTTACTCCCCTGGTTTTTGAGGTTTTTCATCCTCTTCCACTGATACTTGCGTCTCCTTCTTCTCCACCGTTCCTCCCCTTCCAGCAGGGAGCGACTTGGAGTCTGCAGACATCAGGAGAAAAAAATACAGCAAAACATCTTGAGATTTTTCACATTTTGCCTTGTTAGAACTGCAAACTTCAATGTAATTTATCCAGGGTTGGTAAACTCTTCCCACCGCACTTTCAAGGTAAGTTTTCAAATTTTCCGGCCACACTTTGGAGATAAAAGCAACACAAAGGAACTAAAAATATGTAAATTCAATTCACTAAGACAGTGGCTTACAAAAGCATTTATACCCCTTGAACTTTTATATATTTTGTCGCATTACAACTGCAAAACATTAATGTATTTTGTTGGAATTTGACATGAAAGACTAACACAAAGTGGTATACAAATGATATAAATAAAAACTCAAAAGTGCAGTGTGCTAAAGTATTCAGCTCCCTTTTCTCTGAGTGCAACCAATCGCCTTCAGAAGTTGCCTGATGACTGTTGATGAGTAATTAGAGTCCATCTGTGTGTAATCTAAACTCAGTGAATGTTTTTTTAAGCCCCTGGTCTGATTTTAGGAGCAGCAGAGACCTGACCCTTTGCAAAATAGTGAATTTTACATAATAGATCCCCTTCAAGGCCCTGCACAGATTTCCTTTTGTGTTGTATTTATATTCTTTGTTTTGTATTTAATTTGTATTTTTTTTGTATTCTTTTGCGTATGCTTACTGTGTGCCACATTTTTGCCTGTGAGCTGCTGGTAACTATAATTTCCTGAGGGAGTCTTCCCAAGGGATCAATAAAGTCAAGTCTAAGTCTAAGTCTAAGATTTGGTCTAAATCGAATGTGAATTTTTGCCTAAACCAACAGAACTGAAGGTTTCATCTGTGAATATTAGAGGCAGCGTAAAATGACCTGTGACTTTGCTGCAGCTTTGACTGCCTCCTTCTCTCTTGACCACATCTCCAGCTTCCAGCAGGGCAGACAGGCTGTCAGACGGTGAGCCGCTTCCTCCTGTTAGGTCATTACACTGATAATCCACCAGGGGAAACCCCGCCGTGGCCTTCAGCTCCTCAAATCGACGGGCGCACTGTGAAACCACATCAAAGCTGCTGATTCCCTCTCATTCATTCTAATTGCTGATAAACCATGGAGTAGAAGACGGACACCATGGATTAAATGAAGAGGAGATGGATGATGGAGGCATTCATAATTACCCAGCAGCACTGCAGTTACCTCCTTCGGAGTGAAGCCTGGCACCAGTTTGGCCACATTCTCCCAGTTTATGGGCTGAGGAACCCCCCACAGAGACCCCAGAACCATGTCCAGAACCAGGACATTGTTGTCGTAGGGGAAATTATTGTTGTCCGAACAGAAGCGACTCATCTCTACACAGAAAGACGGTCAACAAACAAACAAGATGCATTCAGTCAACAAGAACAGAACTGATCTGAACTTTCTGAAAGACTTTGCATTTTAAGAATCAGATTAGATTTTATAAAGATAAAGTCACTTTTTAAATTTATTTTATATCTTTTCAACACAAATATTGTATTTAGTTGAAGCAGCCAGTTACTGTTTTGTTTTCAATAATGTAGCGTCAGCAAAGAGTTGAAAAAGCCTGATTTCCTTGAAGTTAAACATTTTTATTTGAATTGAAATGGAATATTTAGCATTTCCGACTACATTAGAAAATTATTTATTGCATGCAAAAAAATAAAATTATGAAGGAAATAGAATCAGAATTACTTTATTGTCATTGTGCAAGAAAGCACAAGTAATTTAAAGAAAGATAGAGACTCTCAACGGCAGTGCAAATAAATAAATAATACAAATTAAGTATATTTAAAGAAATGTAAAAAAAAAAAATATTGTAGAAAGACACAGAAACAACCAGAATGTTAAACAAAACTGCTTTAGTTATCGTAACTCATCCCCAAACGGTTGTAGCAGGATTTCCAGTAGCAGTCAGTCTCGCAAAAAATGTGAAGTGGCCTCTGACTGAAGACTGCGGCTGTATGACATGGTAACGGCTCAATTTCAGGGCAGCAGAAACAACATTCCACAGTAATGTTCTGGATGACACAATTAGGTGTAGACAAGCACTGCTAATCCACCTCATTTGCTTTTGCTGCTCCTTTTTAAATCTCTGTTTGGTTGATGGTTGATGAATATCAATACTATCCATTGATATTGTGATTGATGGAAGAAATGGCTTGAACTTTTTTCTTCTCTCTCTGCTCTTTAGTTCTGCTCTGCACTCATGAAGCCTCCTTTTGTTTAGATATTATTTTATCTATTTTGTTAAGAAAATCTACATTTTCCAAAAATGTAGTCTTCAGAAACAGCACATTTAATAAATTGTTAAAACCAATGTATTGTATAGCCCGAGATGAAACCTAAAAATGAGTTTTGGCTTTAAATTTTACACAACAACTCTGCATTGCGGAATGAACACCAAACTCCCAGTGAAACATAGTAGTGGCAGAATCATGTTGTGGGGTTAAACTTCCTGAATTCCAAATACTAATCACTTTAGACTTGATGTTAAAGTTATAAAACCACCTCGCTAGAGTCCAGAAGTACAGTAAATCTAAACCATTATATATTTTTCACCTAAATTGTGCAGGATACGTGTTACCTTAAAGATGAAAAATATCTTGAATTCTTTTAAATATTTACTAATGCTATGTTTATATCATAAAAACATTAAGAAGATATATCAGTTTCCAATTTAAGCAATACAAGCGAGTTGAGAAAGTGCACATAGGTGGCTGATGATGCATTTTAATTGTGTGATGATGATGATAAAAATGGGACGTGGTTCTGCCGCAGGCCGAACCTCCAGTAACTCTTCCTGACACGTCAGGCGCTTCGGGGCAAATCAAATCCATTTTTATGCGACCAAAACAGTCAAAACGAAAAAAACTGGTACAGAAAAATGACGCCGTGGTTGCTGCTTACCGTCTTCCAGCAGAGTCAAGGCAGCAGCGGAATCCTTTCTGCCATTGTGGGGGCGATAACGGTGCTGATGCTGCGCTCCAACCGCTAACTGCCAGACTAGCTAACTTTGCGGGACCGGACTGTTTGCTGCCTTCAGGTAACCACCGAAAGCTTAACTTCAGAATCCCACTTTCACTCAACTCAGGTTTCAGTTTTAAAATTGATATCGGCATGTACTTTAATGTCGGAAGATATCTTCGATATTGTTTTAAATATTATTTAAATTATTAATAAATTTGTTTGTACTTCTCTCACAATTTATCTTATATGCGCTCTTTGAGAAACAGTTTGCGATTTAATTTTTTTTTATAAGTGAAATGTGCTACAGAAATCAAATATACTTTCTCACAAAAGACAGCTTTCATGCCGTACACTTTTCGATTGTAAAAATCAGGTCAATAAGTGGAGCTCATTTTCCCTAAATACATCATTTTCGATAGTCCCTGAAGGCAGCACTAGTTAGCATGAACGCTAACCATAAACGAATGCGTTCGCTAAATGTACATCCTCGTTTGCGGTATAAAATAGTATTCACGTGCCATTTCGTTTAAAGACAAGCCAAACACCTGACTAAACAAAGTGGTTAATACACATTAAAAGCTCGTTAGTTTGTAAAGTTGTCCCAGTTGTCGCACTGCAGCAACATAAGCGTCCAGTTACCATGAGACGACGGTCGTAAATGCAGTTTATATGTCGTAAACTGCATCGTAAACCTTTCAGAAAACAGAAAGGAAAAAATAAAGCAATTGTTGAGTCGGTTAAGTGCTAATTAATATGAAACTAAGCGGGGAATAATGCGCCTGTGTATTGACGTTGTAGTTTTCAAACTCTTAATATTAAATGACTCAAATGGCTAATCACTTCCCTTTGTGATTAGTAAGGTGTTTTTAATTGAATTGACGGAATTAATAAAACGAAAACGAAAAGCCCAGATGGTAATGATGATATTGAACTTTAAAATTAAAAGCCATAGCAGAATTTCAGGCCATGGATTAAACTGTATCAGAGGAGATCTTAGTCCTTTTGGGGCCATGGGCGAAACACAGGTGTGAGCCACCCTCCCTTCCTTCTAAATTTAATTTTTAAACTATAACTGGGACTGTTTTGGGTTGTAGTTGTACAGTGGACTACATCTTGCTGGAAATTTGACATTTATATATATATTTACCAGTGACTAGAGAAAAAAAAAACATTTCTTGGAAATATTTATTTTCAAAATATTTATATTAAATATTTACAAATTATTTTGTGACGAATAAAGTGATGAAAATTTGCGCCTACACCTCTCCAGCTCTGACGACAATCCTATTTGTTCCAGACAAAAAACACAGAAAACCAGGCGAGAGCAACCAAACTTAACATGATCACGTTCTTAACACCTCCGTCCATTAAAATGACAACATATCAGTTTATCTCATTTCCTTACAAAACAAACTTGCACTAACGTTTATTAAGCAACCTCTGAATGAGGAGAGAAAACCTTACATTTGTTTAAAAACTATTTAAGTTTTTATTCAGATTAATGATCTGAATCAAGAACTCTAGAAAAATTCTGATGATGTCCATTGTGATGCTGCTGCTGTCAAGTATTAGTCTATTTCCACAGAAAGACTGCAAACAAGAAATGATCGAGCTAATTAATTATAAACCTCTACACACAAAGGCGTCATCATCAGAGGTCGTTTTTTTCAGGGATGTTCAGCACAGTGTTGGACAGCGTCCCGGACGTCGAAGTGCTCAGACTGCAGGAAACTGGAGTTTCTCTGTACGCAGACTCCAGCAGCTGCTCTGCAGACGCAGCGTTGGACGGCGCGGCAAACTCAGGGGTGAAACCTTTGTTTGCAACAGGCTGCGGCTGCGCAGGCGAGGCTGTCTGGGCGCTCTGTTGCTTCACTTGAGCGAGTGTCTCCATCTCGGCGTGCTTTCGGCCTCTTCGTTTCCCCAGGATCTTGACGTAGTTGGCGGGGACGAGTCCCGTGGTCTGACCGTCCACGCTGGCCAGCAGCCATCCACGTACCCGCGGCTGTAGCTCTGAACGTGACGGGGATAGCAAGGATTTTAAAAGAACGCCGAAAACTTATGACATATTAATCAAGCTCTTAATGCGTCATCGTAAGACATGGCAACAAAAATGTAAAATATTTCATGACTAAAGGTGTAAAATTACTAGAATAAAGTTTTAATATTACAAAAATAGTCTTAGTATTACAACAGTAAAGTCATAGACTTTACTCTAGTAGACTATTTTCAAATTACGAGATCAAATTACGAGAAAGTCGGAATATTTCAAGAATAAAGTCAATATTTTGAGAAAAACCAAAAAAAAGTATTGATTTATTCTCATAATATTGTGATTTATTCTAGCAATAAGTCACAAAGTAATAAAGTCCAGTTTTCGGACTTTTCCCTCGCAATACTATGACTTCATTCTCTTACAAGTTTATTCTCTTGATATTAAGACTTTATCTCCATAATATTGTAACTTGGCTCGTGTAATTTTATTTTTTCATTTTCTTATTGTAGTCCTAATTCTGCGTCACAGAAACTACCAACTAACTACAAGGAAAACATGTTTTCTATTTCATCAACCATCGGAAATAATACTGTGTTTTACATATTTTGGAGGAGCAGATTGTCCCTCACCATATTACATGAAGATGTTAACGAGTTCTGACCTTTAGGAGCCAGGTTAAGCATGTCTCCGGCCCGCAGAGAAACTTCCTCCTCTGAGGAAGCTGTAAAATCGTATTCTGCTCTGGCAACAACATGGTCATCCTCCCCGCTGGCCCAGTTGGTGGCTGAACACAAGCAGAACATCTTCATTAACGAAATTAGAAATAAATAAGACAAAAACATACTTTTAAAAGTATTCATGAGAGATCTACAAAAAAATCACTCCTATGTATTTTAGATCAACACAAAGTAATGAAAGCGAAGCACCAGACTGAAGATTTTGTCATGTAGTTTTTGGTAGAGAGAGAGAAAAGACAAACAATAAATCATACAAATGGAAACTATTAATTTCCCTTTATCATGCGATTTATTGACTTATTGTTTATTGGGACAGGTAACATGATTAAATGTGAGGGCAAAGTACAAGGTGCTGTTGAACACCTTTGAGTTCAAAGGTAAGTGGCTTCAAACGATCAATAATCTACAAATATACAGAACTCATGACAAATCCAAAACTAAACATAAGGGCCAAATTTATTTTCACCAAAAATTCACCAGACACAGACCTGCAGATTTGGTTCAAGTTTTTCATTGAAAGAAAGATTTGGAAAAATTTTCTTCTGCTTGATTTTGTTTCTTTATATTTATATAAATTATTGTCATTTTTGTCCTTTCAATACCAAAATGTCCACTTAAATTTATATTTTGGTCTGTCTGATTATGTAACTATTAAATATTAAATGATAATTTGATCAGTTACTCAGTACTTGAGTAAACTTTTACCAAATACATTTTTACTCTTACTTGGGTAAATTTTTTGGATGAGTCACCACCTTCCAGCGGTTTCGGTTCATTTTGTTTCCTTTGACTAAGAACAAGTCTAAGCACCAAGCACTGTGGGGCTGAATATTTCTAAATTTAGAGATAAATCAGATGCAAGTCTTACCACTTTCTTCAGAACCGGCAGTGGAGCTCAGCAGCTTCCAGATGAGATAGGGTCCACCAAGAACTACAGCGAAGAAGAGGAAGATCGGCCAGGACTTCACGCTCTGTTCCTCGGCTGCCGCTCCAAACGCCCTGGGCAAAGCTGTAGCCAGGGCGTCGGTCGTGCTGTCGGCCCACAAGTCCTCCACATCTGCGTCCGTCCCTCTCCCCAGCAGCCGCTTCAGCCGTCGGTAGAGGTAGCGCAGCGTTCGCACCAAAGCGAACGCTGACAGAACCCTTGTGAGGTGAGCGCGCAGCCTCGTTAGGTGGTTGGCTACATCCAGAACGGCACGGAAGCTGTTGTAGACGGCTGAGAAGGTGGCGTCCAGCATCATGCTGACTGAAGCGAAGGCCTGGACGATGCTTTCAATCGACTGGAAGGCGCCGCGGCTGCTCTCCTCCGCCTGTTGCACGAACCGGCTGGGGGCGACTTCTTCTGCATGAGGGAAGCGGCTGTAGCCTCCCAGGCCGTAGCCACCACCGCCGTAGCCACCACCGCCGTAGCTATAGGGATTGTAGCCGCCATAGATGGAGCTCCCGTAGGGACTGTAGGCGGAGGTGAAAGAGTTGTAGGATGGACGGTAGGACTGCTGCATGGGGCGAGGAGGCACTGGAGGGGCCATTCTGGTCAAAACAGGAGGGCCTGCAGGCGTGGAGGGCCCCACAGCTGCCAGTCCAATGTCTGCAGATCTGTTCAGTGAGAAAAGAAGCAAAAATAATTTAGACAGCGGAGGTGTCAAGAAAGAGCTTTCTGGGAAAAGGGTTCACAGATTGCTAAACTAAGACCTATTTGTTGCAAAAAGGACTGAAATGATTAATCGGATTTATCAAGTTAATCAGATTAATTGTCATTAACTGATTATTGAAGTAATTGTCAAGTGATTAAGAACTTGATTGTTAAGCTGAATTAATTGTTAATTCAGCTCCTTTTTAAATAAAATAAACATTTTATTGCCTAAAGCAAAATAACACAGCAGTCTTTTAGTAAATTTGAAGTCAAACTATCCCATTTGAGGAGTTTTGCATAAAACATTTTTACAACAAATGTTTTTATCTTAAATGTATAAATATATATCCATATATTGTATTGTTCTTGTGTATTTGCTCCACTGAATATGTTGATTTTTAAGCAAATGGGCTTTCTTTGTCTCTCTATACTCTAGTTATTAATCAATTTGGTTGATTAAATTGGTTGATAATTATTTGAATAGTCGATTAATTTAATTAATTCTTTCAGCCCTAATGAACAGACTCAAAAAAGGCATTTTACTTGAGGAACAACATACTCAGAGCAGTAATTAAGCCACACATGTACACAGATATATACACCTGCATTTAAGATAGAAAAAACAAACTTTTGTCTGTAAATATGTTCTTTCCAGTGGCAAAGTTTTACCTTCAACTTGTTTAAATGGTGTAAAAAAAATCTTCTATTAAACACATTTTGCTATCCAAAATATTAAACGTTGTAACAGAGTGCGCCCTCCGTTATACAACAGCTTTTATGACAACCTTTAGCAGCAATAGCCCAGTTAAACACTCAACATAAAAACTGAAACCTATACATCCTGGCTGTTGCGCTAATATTTAATTATAACCCCCCCAAAAAAACAACAAAATTCAGCCGTAAGACTGTAAAGTAAATAACAGGCCGCAGGCAGGAGAAGAGTTCCTAATTTAATTAATTTGTTACCGTTTACTAATTAATCTAAAACATACAACTGATGAAGTACATATAGTCAAACTCATTGTGTCAAATTATTCTGCAAAAACCTGCTAAATGTTTAGATCGCAGGTTTAGCAACTTTAGCATCAACTAGCTCACAACATTAGCAAATGCTACGTTAAGCTAGCAGCAAAGCCCGACAAAATAACCCAAATAAATGCTTGTTCACCTGTAATTTAAAGGTGCGCTAATAGCTCCTGGAATCCGCCTTTCCCAAGGCTTTGGGGGAGGATGTGAATCCATCGTAAAATATTAAACAAACAACTTTAAAAACGCACACATCGAAGTATATCCCAGTCCGCTGACCCCTTTTTTTAAATGCTCCCTTTCAGTGCACCTCGTAATTTTCAGAATTACAAAATAAACCTTATATTTTCACGACGTGTGTTCACAAAACGTACAGACCACAAATGTACAGACCTTTGAATAAATTCATTATGATAAATTAATTACATATATGTATTATGCGTTATTAAACTATTTAGGAATCATTATTACACCCGAAAAGCCTCACTGTCACCAAACATACCTCACAGTGAGACCAAAATAATAGATAGATGATTGTTGTGTTTGAGTTTTTGGCGTTTAACCTTGGGGGAAAACAACCGTAAATATGTACTCAACTAAGAGTAACACTACTTTCACGTATTTTCTCAAGCAAAAATAAAAAGTAGTAATAGAAGAAATCACTCAAGAGTAAAAAAGTATTTTGTAAAATGAATTACTCTTCTTTAATATTTGATTAAACATATAAAATAGTCAGGCAAACAATATAAAAAGTATGTTGCAATAAAACTACTACTAAAAGTTAATTTCTTTGCCCAAAAATGTTACTCAAGTAAAAGAGAATAACTAGTTACTCTCTACCATCCCTCCTAAGGAAACATGCCGTCTGTGCGATTAGTAGAGCCTGCTCCCATATTACGTTCTTTTTAAAACATTGGCCACCAGAGGGTGCTGTAGCACATCAAAAAGTGAGTAATCACATGTACATAAAAAGTACCAACAGAAGTTGTAGAGGGAATATCCCTCACTTTGCAAGTCATGTTAACTCAACAAAAAAGCAAAACAGCAACAAAAAAAAAAAGAAAATACATATACGTTGGAATTTAAGACAGTAATATGTATTTAAATTAAATCCACTTTGGATTACTCTATTTTGTACTCTTGTAAATGCATTTTGGCATCATAAAGAGATACGTGCAGTCAGTCAGCTAACACAAAAATGTATTTAGAGATAATTTGTCCAAGCCAACCCATCTGAAGTTTTTTTTTTTTCAATACTTATAGTTATTTTTTATACACAGTGCTGATGTGGATGGTTGATTTAATTGATTATTTGACTTTTGAGAGAAGGGTCAGATTATAAAAATGTTTTTCTCCCAACTACTTTTTATGCAAATCTCTTGTTTATGTCAGCATCTGACCGTTTTAAACTGTATATGAATTAATCAAGCAAACAAATTAGATTTTGAAAAATAGCTTATTTTATGGCTAAATTAAAGACAACTTTGTTTGTTTGTTTGTTTGTTTGTTCTCTCTCTCTTTCTTAGAGACAGGGAAAATAGATTTCAGGACGAAAAAAAAATTCCATCAAAACTTTGCAAAAGAGAATGAACACATGTTTCTGATTGGAACATTGAAAATGAAATATTTGTGACAAAATAACATGAAAATCATACTAAAAAACAGTTCAAGCTATCATTGTCATTTTGTTTTGAAAATGTCATACTAAAACATATCAAGACAATTTAAAAAACTATAAATTATGTCATTACAGCCTTCTTTATGTCCAAAAGTAATGCTGTTTTTAATACCACTCAGATCAGATATGTAAATAATGCTCTCACTAACGTCAGTAAACATGCAGGGGGCTGCTAGTGGCTGACATGTATGAGAGGGAGGCTGCTCTTCATGCTAGCTGCAGCGGGGGCGTTCGCTGTGGTTTGAGGAGGGAGTCCTGTGATGTCAAGTGTTGTCGCGGGCCGTGGGAGGGTGTGTGTGCAGAGCTGCCGCTCTAGATTCTCCAGAGCTAGCATGACAGAGTTTGCCTGTGTCATACCCCGGTGTAGGTGCACTCTTGTTAGTTTGTGGCCTGACGGTGTCAGGGATCCCAAGCCACAGGTGGGAATCCGAAGTGTCACCCTCCTGCTGACGCCGACTGTGGGCAGATGCTCGAGCTGGTGTCTCGTCCTCCTGGTATTTGGGGGTTTGCGCTTTGTGATTCTAACCTTTCGTACTGTTACAAGATAAGATCAGGGGTCAGAAAATGGTGATCGTTCAGCAACTCTGCAGAGGAGACATGCAAATTCTAAAGGACTTAAAGTTAAACCCTGGAGTAAATTCTTAAAGTCATTAAAAAAATGTTTTATTTGCTTTCCTATATAATTCCACAAAACAGCCGAAACTCTGAGTTCCTTTAAATCCAGCCTCAAAGCCAAAAAGCCACCTGTTGAGAGTTGCTTTCAACTAGAACCTTGACCAACGTATTTGATGCGTATTGATGATTTTGATTATGACACTTAACAAAATGTGTAATGTTTGTTCCTGGTTACTCTGTTATTGACTGTATGGCGTTTTTATGACTTCTTATTTTTGTTTCCCAGCTTCTATCAACTGAGAGATTCAGATTTTATGGCAGATGTTGTTTAGTGGTTCAATAAATCCAACAAGCCCTTTTCAAAAAATCCACTGCAAAGTCTTAGCAAGTCTATTTTCTACTGCAAATATCTCAGTTCACCAGAAATAAGACAAAACTAACTTGCAAGTAACTTTTCAGCGAGATACAGGATCTTGTTTTCAGTAAATAATTCCTTAATATTAATGAAAAAGTGCTTGTTCCATCATTTGACTTAAAACATTTTCCGCCTGTTATAAATGAAATAATCTGACAATTGAACTAGAACTTCTTCATCAACATGAAGAAATTATTGACTGAAAACAAGTTTATATTTCTTGTTGAAAGATTACTTGTAAGAAAGAGCAGTAAGACCAGAAATCTACGGTAAAACTTTGTGTTTTTTCAGTGTCTTTTTTATGTTGGCAAAGACAAAGTACCACCTAGAGTCAAGACATGATCGTATCTTTTTATAAGGTTTTAGTGAATGTAAGAATTCTTGTGTCGGTCTGACCACTCCGGTAAGACAACGGTTTGTTCTTTCCAAGGTTGGTAGGATATTTTCATTTGCAGACGATAATTAACTCATTCTTACACCTCAAGAAAGACGAACACTTCTGGGGAAGTCACACGCCCACCATGTATATTTCTCTGTTTGCACAACAAGAGAATCATAACCAGAAAGGATTGTAAACTGAATTAAAGAATCCCAGAGTTTTTTCCCAACATCCTCAATCTGTTGCATCTCTTTCTATTCTGGAGGTCTGATAATGCTTGCCGGTTTGCCCAGGCCGGTGATTTAACCCCAGCTTGGCAAACCTTGGTTGTGCTGAAGTTCCAGCGTTCCTGCTGTGCTTTTGACGGGCAGCACGCAGGACTGGCCTGAGAGTGATATGGGTGCTTTTTGCTTTCTACTTCCCCCTTCCTCTTTATGTGTGTGTGAGCGCTCTGCACAGGCCAGATAGTTAGATGGAAGCGTTTACAAAAGTGGAACTGCTAAAAGACAAATGTTACTGGAAGGTACAGAGCTTGCATGTGAGAACGCTGACTTAGATGCATAGAGAGCACGCCAACCTGCAATGTAAGTAAAAACAAACAGCAGCCAAGGTGATTGAACAAGGCTCTAACAGTGGTTGCAAAACAGTAATTAAGAAAACAAGAAAAGTGAAAAAATGTCTGGACTTTGAAGAAAATAACAGAAAAGTAAGAACCCACCACAATACCAAGACAAAAAGATTTCAAAGAAGAAACTGGTGCTGCCTATTGGAAATAAAACAAATCCAAGTCCATCGATGTACAATGAGAAACATTTTCTACAAGTGTGAAACATGTGAAGAAAACCTCTACTGTTGAACTGCACAAGGTTGGTTTGCGATGAACAAATGAGACCAAAGTAGAGACGCTTGTTTGCGATATACAGCATGATGGTTGGAGAAAACCAAAAATAAGAAACAGCTCTTATCAAAAAGTCTTTATTTATCATATTCACCAAAAATATATATGGTACTCTTATAACTTAGAGACTCAAATGGACTTTAATGTAAAAAAGAATATATTATAAGTATGGAAAGTCTGATTATCTTCAGTTCTGACTGAGACTTAGCTAGCTAGGCTTAACTAATCAAATAACAAAAGTACAGTATCATAAGTATTAGTAGGAGTATAGCATAATTCATTCAGAAAAACATTTTTATTTATTGTATTAATTAAAAATGTATCTGGTGCTCTTATGACTTAGGGACTTAAATTTAAAGATGATATTGTAAAAATTGTTTTAGTTTTGACTGAAGCTTAGCTATCATATCACAAATATACAGAAGCACCAAGTTTGTTTACACGGGAGTCAAGAAAAACATTATTATATGAATTAAATTATATCCTAATCGTAAAAAGTAAACTTTGCTTTGAACACTATTTTCGATAGGTTAAAATAAACATATTTTGGGGCAAAAATGTAAATTCTGCATACATCTTTAAAATTGAATTAAATAAAGTTAAACAATCACTAGTTTCTTTTTTGGAGATGGTATACTTAAAAAGAGAAAAATATTTATTCAACTTAAGGCAGAATGTATAGCCATAAAACACCCTGCTAAACACCACACACATACACCGTGACAAGTTTTTCACAGTCAGAGCTTTGTGGGATTTTCCCTGCACTCGAATATGAGTTAGGTCTTGCATGGGGAACTGTTTTAGCTATGCATAGCGAAGGATACCTATAATTAAAATGTGCTGCAGGAAGTTTGCAAAAAAAAAATTGGAGGAGTCGAGCATACAAGCAATAACCATTATTCATATTTCAGTAGGAAGTCCTGTCTGGCTTGGAAAAGCGAACAAAGATACTTGAAGTTTAGCATTTTTTGAGCATAAGTCATCTGTTTAGGGGGAAACTCTGTCATAACTTGTATTCGAGTCAACTTCTTTCAGGTAATTATAGATAAAAAAAGAAATACTACAGAGGCAGATATGTTTTAAAATGCCTTGTCAGTATTGCACTACTGTCATGCAAATGATGACGAGGTTTTCAGTCACGTAGTAGCTCCTTTCTAAATCACTGAGATAACAGAACGTTCATTCAGGTGAAGAAAGCTGATGTTGTCACCGAGTTTGTGAAAAGGAAGGGAGGGCGTTGAAAAAGGGAGGAGACAGAGCAGCAGAGGAGGGGCCTTACTGGCAATAAGTGGCTAAACTGGTCTAGCTCGCCTT